CATTTTCTCCCTGTTCAGCTGCCAGATGTATTGCATTATATTATCAAATTGATAGATCTAGTGTTATTTCTACACTTACCATTTCATAACAACAAATAGAAATATAAGGAAGCTTTGGTAACAAATCTTGCTTAATATGTATGGGAAGTAGACAGTTTGTCTAAGAGAAAAATATAACTGATGACAGATCTCATTTCAGCCTGCTAGTGCTTATTAAGATGTCTACAAACAAAAAGCTATATCTGGGTACATCTCTTTCTGCAAACAAAGGGAAGTTTTAATTGCTTTAATCAGCATTAGCATTGTCTTTGTGGTGACATAGGTAAACAATTCAGGTCTAATCAGGAAATGTCTTCCAGAGGAGAATTCTTCAGCTTAGACTTTAACTGAACCTAATAACATATTTTCTAAATAGTCATCATTAAATAAAGTTTAGCAATGTAATACTGTGCTGTTGTATATTTAAATTATTCCTAAGCCATTAATAGAAAGACTGGTGATATGATATTTTTTTGCTATGCCCTTATTAAGAATATCATTTCAGAAATAAAAATGGCTCCCATAAAAGAAAAAAGCAGACTGATTAATCAACCCCAAGTGCCAGCATTATGCCTTTTGTTCACCAACAATATGTTAAACATAAATAAGTCTTTGCTTCCTTCTTTTTAATTCAATTCCTCAAATACTTATTATAAGGTGAAATACCCTGTTATAAACTAAAACATTATAAAGAATAAGAGAACTCTATAACATTTAAATAAAACTGCAGCCTGAGGTATTTGAGTGGAAGTATTTTTAAAACTCTCAGAACTTCAATATGGGATGTAAAAAAAAAAGAACATTTACTAAATACAAATGTTGCTACAACCTCAATAAGGCAAAAGATACTTCAATTTGTCTTGTAGCATCATATATATATATAATCACTTGCATTCTGTAAAGACTGAAATGACACCATTTAGGAAATCAGTACTTTCATTCATGGGTAGATAATATAAAATGTGGTAGGAGATAGATAATGGGCTTCAAAGTTGGGAAGCACAAGACTCAACACTTTCCTTAGTCTATCTCAGTGGTTCTCAACCTTCCTAATGCTGCAACCCTTTAATACAGTTCCTCATGCTGTGGTGAACTCCAACCATAAAATTATATTCGTTGCTACTCCATAACTGTAATTTTGCTACTGTTATGAATCGTAATGTAAATATCAGATATGCAGGATGTATTTAGGCGACCCCTGTGAAAGGGTCGTTTGACCCCCAAAGGGGACATGACTTATAAGTTGAGAACCGCTGGTCTAGCTCCTTTGAGTTGTGTAAGCTTGGACAAGTCATTTACCATCTCTCCAGGTCTCAGTTTACTCATTTGTAGAATGGAGATTCATTCAATTGTCACCTGTGGACCAGGGACTGTGTTGGCATTGGAGACACATGCCTCATGAAGCTTCCGTCTACTGTAGGCATGCATAGTAAACCAATAGTCATACACACCAACAGGGTAATTGAAGTGCACCAGGGGGCACACAGGGGAGAGCCATGGTTTATTTGCGGCCTCTTGTCCTCAGAAGGTATAGTTTATAATAAAAGTGGAATTGAGTCAGTGATCCAAATGTTTCAGCCTGAGCCCAGAAGCCTGAACTCCCAAATGATGATGTTTGCAGACAAGAAATCACAATGCCAAAGGATGAGGTACTGTCATTATTATACTTACTCTCCTTTAAGATTGTGTGACTTTGAGGATATTATTGAATCTCTCTGTGCCTCAGTTTGCTCAGATCTAAAATACGAGCTTACCTCATAGCCTTGTTATTAATATTAAGTTAATATTTGTGAGTTCTGAGAACAGTACCTGATACATGTAAGTGTCCTTATTGCTGACGTTATCAATTGGTAGTCATGGCAGTCTGTCTCAGGAGACAAAATGCTGCAAAACAAAACACAAACAAACAAAAAACCCAACAACTGTAAACATTCATGGCTTATATTTTAACAAAAAAAATGAAAGTTTAAATTATGGGCATTTTTTTCCTGAGGTTGAGAGAAGGTGTGGCATTTTTCTCAGGGCTCCTCTTTCCACCTCCATATCTTGGCTGAGGATGCCATGTTTTCCTCCAAGTAGGAAAGCCACATGGCGGGGCTCGGGTCATGATAGAAAGTGGCTGGTGAATTTGTTCTTCTCTCCTAGAATCCTACTATGGTTTCCTGCCTAGGAATTGCACAGGTATTACACACAAAGATAATTAAGAAAAGACCTTTGCTTTCAAGGAGCCTACACCCTAGTTGAGGAGAAAAACAAAACTACAACAGCATACATTCCATGATAATGGCATTTATAAGACAATCTACATGGTGATCAGCTCTGTGAATATAAAAATCAAGTCTTATTTATCTTTATGTCCCCTAGAGCCTGATAATAATGCTCAATAAATGTTTGCTGGATTGAATTGACTACATTAACAAGTACAAACAAATGGAGTCTGAGCAAGTAATTGTCAAAAGGATGCCACAAAAAGAAATATTCACAATGGAAATTTGGGGTCCCCATCGTAACTATGGTAGATATGGGGAAACCTCATCTTTCCTTGTCTGGTGAGTGAATCGACTAGGAGCCCTTAAAGAACAATGAAACTAGGTGGTAGATATCAAGTACCATTAGCAGTTTAGAGAATCTACCTAATACTTCAAACATTTCAGAGTGAAATGATTCTTCCTATTAATGGAATGTCCTAATTTGAAAGACATGTTTTCTGTGAATGACTTCATAAGTAATTTGATTTCTAATTAGAGCAATGCTAACTATTCCTAATTTTGTACCTTAATTTATTCCTGCAAAATTAAATACTTACCCTAAAGTAAATATTATTGTGTCAGTCTTTGTGGCATCTGGGGAGGAGAGGGAGTTGTCATGTGGCACCTATCAAGCTGGAACAGAAACATTCTTTATCCAGCGAAGGGAAGGAACATCCTGCTGCCAGTGTATCCTGTATGGGCTCTAGGTGGTATAGGAAGATTCTCTCTTTTGAATCCTGTTGTTTTGTACTTTGCCGTTTTTCTCTAAAACAAATAACTATTTTTCAGTTCACACTATCTGCCAAAAGCCAAAGTTTACACTCTATTCTCCTTTTCTAAGATTAGATGTTTCTGAGGGGAGGGGAGAACCTAGATAGTGGCATAGGTAAATACTGGTATTCGCCACCTCCCGTAGCCACATCAAAATTACAACTAAAATACAGAAGAATCATCATCCAGAACTGCCTAAAATCTGGCTGACTGGAAGACCTTAAAACTAGAGAAGTAAAGAAGAAGCAACACCAAGACTGGTAGGAGGGGTGGAGGCCTGGAATGGGCTGATCCAACACCCACATGTGGTGGTTTTTTGTGAGTTTTTTTTTAATAGGGAGCGATATCCCCAAGACCTCCTGTGAGAAGTAAGGGGTCCTAGCCCTACACCAGCCCCCAAGTCCAGGGTTCCAGAGCTTGGGAGAGAAGACCCTGTAACTTCAGGCTGTAAAAACCAGCAGGAAGTGTGGCTGAGTGACAGGCAGGCTGCTAGGCTGCTGGAGACCCAGCAATTCCTCTTAAAGGGCCAGCACATGAACTTACATGGACTTTCTCCCTTTGAGTTCCAGAGCTGGGGTAGAGGCTTGAGGGGCAGGGGGAAGGGACATACAGGGAGGAACTGGATTATCTGGCATTGGGCAGATACTCAGGAGCAGCTTTCTCCCAGACTGGAATGCTCACAGGGGACATTGTTCTGCTGGGACTTCCTGCATCACAGAGCTGACTGACACCCTTATCTGAGTTTACATCAGCATGGCCTACACTGTTTGCTCCTCTCTGATGATTCCATGAGACCCTGCCCCATCCAATTTGCAGTCCCACTCAAGCTATTTGCAGCAGCTTTTCCATATGAATTTCCTGTCCTGCCTCAGGCTTCAGACTTCACTAAAATCTCTCAAACAAGCAGCAGCTAGTATCAGCATGCTCCAAATCTATTAGTAAAAGGCCCAAGACTTGGAACCAGCACTAGCTTGCCTTGCTTTATAGCTGGGCCTTGCCTGAGTACATCCATGCCCAAACAAATAGCAGCTATCTGCAGACCTCTCTGTAGCTCCTGCCAGGTGGCCCCAGGCAGTGGCTGACTTTGCATCTTCCTGGAAGCTGTAGAGCCAATGCACCCAGTGGACAGCTTCAGACAATACCCGATTACAACTCTACACATCCACCAGTGACACTCTCAGGGTGCAGACTCGGTGAGCACCAAAACCATACTGAACACAATTCTGCTCCATATGGGGTATCTCCTGCACAGCAGCTCTTCCATTGTAGTCACAGCTGGTCCTCACAGCCAATTGGTCTGGAGGTCAATTCCTCCCAGTCATGCCAATAGTAATCAAGGCTTAATTACAACAAGACTGTGCACACAGCACACTGGGGTGCACCTAGAGTGCCTAGTTCAGGTGACTGAGCCTCAGGGGAGTCTGAGACACTGGGTCCTACAGGACATCTACTACACAAGGCTACTCTACCAATTCCAGGAGACATAGAAGCTGTATCTAATACATAGAAACAAACAAAGGAAAGTAGCTAAAATTTGGAGACAAAGAAATAGGTCACAGATGAAAGAAATTGAAGCAAGCAAAGAGTTTAAAATAATGGTTATAAGTATAAGTTTACTCAAGGATATTAATGAGAGCTTCAAGGGATTTACTTAGAGTTTCAAGGGACTTAGTGAGACTTTCAAGGAACTTAGTGAGATTTCAAAGACATGAAAAAGGAGCATACAGAAATTAAGCACAAACTAACTGAAATAAATAATGATTTACAGAGATTCAACAGTAGAGTAGAGGATTCTGATAATCAAATCAACAATTTGGAATATGAAGAAGCAAAAAACATTCAATCAGAAGAGCAAAAAGGAAAAAAAATCCAAAAACATGAAGATAGTGTAAGGAGCCTCTGGGACAACCTCAAGTGTATAAACGTTCACGTTTATGGGGGTTCCAGAAGGAGAAGAGAGAGCAAGATATTGAAAACCTATTTGAAGAAATAATGACAGAAAATTTTCTTAACTCCATGAGGGAAATAGACTTACAAGCTTAGGAAATATAGAG